CTGACCCATAAGCTCTTGGTTGGCTCCTCATCCATCCCCAGGCAGAGCTCCATGCGTGCCAGCTGGTCATTGACATAGAGGGCGACACCACCTTCTCACCTCCCCTGCCTGTCCTTCCTACAGAGCCTGTATCCCTCCATCCCAACACTCCAATCATAGGAGCCATCCCACCACGTCTCTGTGATACCAATAAGGTCGTAGCCTTATTGTCCCCATTATTAAATGTCCCCATTAGTTCAGCATCTAGTCAGCAGGGTTAAAATGGATCAATCCTTACTTTGCTATCCCTCCTTAAGTTAGTCTCTCCTTTGATTTGGTAGTTAAAAGATGTACCTGGAGCCAAAAATGTTTAATCACCTTTTATATACAAACTATGAACTGTCTTACAAATGTCTATGAACAGCAACTCAAACTACAGTATTTTTCTTCATGGACCTAATAGCTTCATCTTATATGCCTTGTCTCTCTCAGATGCCAGAATTTACACACAAATGTAAACTGATTCTATCACCTTGTTTTTATACAGTATATATGATAGACAGGTAGATAGATACCTTATAATGAACTTATTATAAGCCTTATTATACACCAAAATTTGCTATTTTTTTTCAGGTCGGCTAAAGAATAAGAAGATTGTGTTTCTTAGCTGCACACTAGGGCTAAAGTATGATAAGCTGCTAGGGGATACATGACGTCCAAAAGTTCATATTCCCCCTCCTTGCCTCAAAAGAATGTAGAGCATTTATTAGCAATTTGAGATTACACAATAGTTGGGTTTTTTTTTAAACTTTGGCAAAAATATCCTATATAACATAGATACGCTGACTGCACATGCCTTCTGCTTACATTGTCAACTGAAACCGTTCTTGCGCAAAAAAAACCCACCACCCTGTAAATCAAACGCAAATCAATCTAGAGTTCGGATACCTCATTTTCTAACCACCTCCAAATGCATACTCAAACCTTAACACAGGCAAATCAATACTCATTTTAGATCCAACGTCTGCATCCCAGACATCGATGGCATTCACTGCCTCAAGCAAAAAAACACAAAACTAGAGGCAAGATTCTATGTTCACCTTTAGATGACATACAAGGCTTCTAGTTCAGTAAGGTGGCATCCACCCTAATTCGAGACTGCATCGGGGCCAAAAGCATGCCCAGCAAAATTCAGCTAGCCCAAGGTGCAGCGGCATGCCGCTAGTCCTAACAGCAGCTCTGTGACACCTTCCACAACGCTGAATGCTGGGTTCTCCCCACACCACGTCAGACACATGGCTATGCTAGAGTTTTAACAGGTTTCTTGGCAAACAGACTGCAGGTTTCTCGCATCAGTTAGAGAACCTAATAAATTCCCTCAGTAAGACATGGGGAATTTTGAAGTCAGGAAGAGCTCCATAAAAGGGCAAGCACAGAAACAAGAGTTTGACCTTTTGACATTATCCCCAAATAAGTAAAATTTCCCACAGATGCTGTTCTCCCTCCTCATGCTGCCATCTTTGGTTCTGAATTTTGCGACTTTCATTTTTTAACTCAACCAACAAATGCTGTAGTTTTTGTGTTAGGTGGGCTTTTTTGTTTGTTTCTGGGACAGACAAACTACTGGAAAGATCACCGATTTATCTGAGTAATTTTAACAGCTTCAACTGCTCTAACAAAAATGCACAGTAATTATTATATAATTACAGCAGAAAGAGATTCATCTCAGTTTTGTCTCCAGAAACCTTTCTGAAATGGAAAGAGCTGATGAACTATGGTGACAAATTTAAAATGGGAGGAATAAAATTAAATGCATAGCTACAAGTGTTTCTCAACTGATTTAGCAGCTGACGCATTTACAAAAACAGTATTTGAGAATTTTTCATTAAAGATCCTTACTCGATTCCACGGAAGCAGTATTTTCTTCTGAACTGAAAAACACTTTGAACCACTTTTTCTACTAGCTTGAACGGCTGCTGTATCTTTGGTTGCACCAATGGAGTGAAATGCACCACAGCCACATCCACCTAATAAGGAAAAGTAAGATAAATATGAGTGGATATATTCCTCCGAGACACGTTACTTCTAAGAAGTTAACCGGTTAGACATCAGGAAACAGGCAGAACATAGGAAGGCATTATTGTGACAGGTAACATCGCTGTGCAGTGACTAATGTCATAGTACTTTAATATAGAGATTTGGCCTAACTTTCAAGGCCCTGCAGAATTTTAGTCTGTCTTAAGTTATCTACATATTTCCAATTAGTTCACATGCCATTAGTACTTAGTACTTTTTTCCCCATGGCACTTCCTCTATCTAGAGCGACTTCCATGTAATCTGTAAACTAATTAGCACTTCTTTCTTCAGATCCTTCCACAAGACAATTCTGACATGAATATGGTCTAATTTGTGTATCAAGATACAGGCTGAAGGGCAGCTGGAGAAAATTGGTATTATAATTAGAAATCAAACCTATTCCCTATATGTTTTCTGTTGCTCTAGGGCTTTTCTAAAATGTAAGCCAAGGAATTACTTTTCAACATATTAAGGTTTTAAAATTCTAGTCTATTTAAAGGAGTGGTAGGTAGAAGTAAGTTTGCATTCAGTTGCAGTGACCATACAACTCTGTATTTACAGTTTCATCCACAGTTATATTTGAATGCTTCTACCCAGATCTCTTTCAAGCTTTATTCTTTTATAGTTCTAAAATCAGCTTGGTTCACAGAACGGTCACTTTCCCTGTGTCTGAAAACAGAATGGAGTAACATCATTCCTTCAATGTACACATATATACACGTAACACACAGAAAACATGTCATGCAATTATAGAGATACTGTATTATACAGAAATGCCCTGAATTCAGACTTCTGTATTACAAAATACAGGCTGAGCTAAAAATCCAGTTCTGCACAACATCAACTAAAGCAGTTCATCTTCCAAACTAGATATTAACAACAATAAAAATGAAACATTTCTGTGGAGAAAATGTGTGAAATTTGTACAAGTACTGGTGCTGAATGACTACAAAATTTTTAAGTACCAGACCTTTAAAAATATTCACTCTCTTATTAAAAAAAATCTGCTAACACGATGGACAATCACCCATTTTTTTAAAAAGTCTGAAAGTCAATATTGGCATTCATAGAACAGATTCTATGTGACTTTAAATTGAAGATGTGCTAGTTCTGACTGAAATACAAGATACACTCAGACCAAAGAACAGCTTCTGTTCGAAGCACACTCTCAGTGTTCCAATTGTTGGAGAAAATCCAAAAAAAACTTCAAAAAAAGAGAGGGTTTTTTCTACTGCTCTAACCAAAACTGCTCTATGTTTGGTTTTTTTTTTTTTTAATCAATTAAATCGTAGTGACCTCTGATGTGGACATATTCTTCTGGCACAAAGGTGCCATCCATCCACGTTGTACTTTCAGTGGGAACAGCTTGGCTGTCAAGTATCTGTACTATCCAGTACAACTGCTTCAACAGCAGAGGTACTATATTTGCTTTCAACAGAAATGGTGATATTCAAACAACCTAAGTTTTTGATGTAGACAGAACTTATGAAGCTGAACAAAAATACTGATTAACAGTGCTGATGAAAAAAACCACAAGTTTCCAGTATTTGCACTGCTGATCTCAAGTATATGCTACAGATAGTGTTTCTTCCCTACTTTTCCACCTTTCCTGAAAGCTAGAGTCAAGAATAAGACAGAAAAAATACTTAAATTACTAAAAGGTAAAGACACAGGAACTTATTTAAAAAAGAGGTGACAAAGAAAACCTGACACACGGAATCTGCAGTGAAATGCGCATAAATTTATTTTCCAAAGCATTTTCTGAACTTCTTGTGTGTTGATAGCTTCTACTCTTGCCACAGGTTGCTGCTACCAGTCAGGGAGACCACAGGGACGCAGAGAAAACTTGTGTGCACACTGAGTGTCAGAAAAGTTTATCTTTTTGAACAGGGCACAGACATACTTCACACAACCAACCAGCTCCTTGAACAGAAACACTAAGAGCTCTACAACTACCTGAAAGGCGGTTGTAGGGAGGTGGGTGTCGGTCTCTTCTCCCAAGTAACAAGCGATAGGACGAGAGGAAACGGCCTCAAGTTGCACCAGGGGAGGTTTAGATTGGACATGAGGAAAAATTTCTTTACTGAAAGAGTGGTTAAACATTGGACCAGGCTGCCCAGGGAAGTGGTTGAGTCACCATCCCTGGAGGTATTTAAAAGACGTGTAGATGAGGCGCTTAGGGACATGGTTTAGTGGGCATGGTGGTGTTGGGTTGACGGTTGGACTTGACGATCTTAGAGGTCTTTTCCAACCTTAATGATTCTATTTACATACATATACGTTTATCTACATTTTTGTCAAGAAATAAAACGAGGTATTTCCCCCACAAAATTAGGGATAAGAAAACCACCAGAGACCATCTGGGATCTCACAGTCACCTCAGTTTCGCAGAACTGCTTTTAAGTAAGCTATGAGGGCTCTTTGGGAGTAGGAGCTGCATCTTTAACAAAAATTTCTGAAGGAAAAGAAAAAAACACAATCTAGATGCAGTGTACAGTTTAAGAGAAAAACAGCTCAATTTGCAATCTCAAGGCCAGCAGGCAATAATTTCTGCTTCTGAAACAAAACACAGCCCTTCTCAGCATTTGTTCCATTATAGACGCTGTTTTCTTTGGACCCCAGGAAAGCTGCCTGGTTACTATAGCAACAGATACAGGGGAAAGCTTTTCACTTGTAATTGGCCACTCCTTTAAAATTATACATGCTATTTTTCCCTAACCTTTTTAATATGCATAGAGAGCAGAATTATGAAAGCCAATACAGAGTACACAACAGCACTTAAAATACACAAGTTAATTTGCGGATAATTTTATTAGTAACACTTCCCCCCCCCCCCCAAAACCGTTAAAAGTATTTAAAAAAAAATACTAATTTT